GGTATGTCCAGACTCATGCTGCTCTTGAACCATACCCTCTTGCCAGTGAAATATGGATAACTAGTGGTATCTCTACCACTCAGACTGTGGATGAAGGGCTTGGCACAACACTGTGAAGGTCCCAGTGCCACAACCATTTCATGTATAGGCAGGTATATGCATTCTGGCCTGTTCTCACCCACAGCTCTGTTAGATCACTGAGGTGCGTTGCACCATAGTACAGGCATGTGGTAATGATGTCTGTGTGATTGGCATATACGACAACTCTGTCAACTCCCTCATTCTGGACACTGTAGAGAGTGTGGAGGAAGATCCTAGTGTCAGCCTCATGCTGTGTTGATTCAAGAGCAGGAACATCCATAACAGACCATGCTGTGAGCACCACAGTCTCTTCTTTGAATCCACCACCCAGGTAGAGATGAGTTGGGCCAAGACCAGGTTCCAGTTGTTCATCCGCACACCACTTCTCACAAAGGAAGCTCAGCAGGTTTGCTTTGTTAGCAGACTTTCATGGCTTTCAGAATATTAAACTTGTTTCGGCAAATTCAGATGATAAATACAGCTTTGAAGCTTGTAACGGCATAATTACAAGCAGAGAACGGAGTAACTTAACGTCACTGCAGGCATAACAACAGCCGGTGTTTCTCGTGAGTGTTTTCCCCGGGAAACAAACACAATGCACACAAACGCAAAAATACACAAACACACACACACCTACTGTATACACACACACACACACACACACACACACACACACACACACACACACACACACACACACACACACTCGTGAGCTTCCCCCAGACCAGTAATCCAAACGAAAATATCTTCCCTCCGTAGTATTTTGATCATTTGCTCCGCTAATCAATCAGATCGATGGATTCCAGAGATTTTTCTCAAAAATGATGTAACAGTCAGTGGGCACCACTTAACAGCCAATCAGAATGAGAATATGTTTCACATGTGACTTATTCAAATTGCGAGTGATTGAGTGACAGATGAAGGTTGTTTAGGAGAAAATGTTGGAGAAGAAAAAGTTTGAGAGTGGCGCTCGGAAAAGGAAATTGTTGAGGGAAAAGGAGTTTCGAGACAAGCAGCCATTACAAAAAATGCCGAAGCCTACAGGTTATTTTAAACCTGTAGGCTAGGATGAGGAGGAAGGACAGATTAGTTCTGTACCGAGCGGCAGCGGTGCCGGCCGCGGGGCCTCGGTGCCAAGTAGGCCGTCTGGTTCTGATAGTGGGAGAGGAAGAACAGACAGGAGGGACATTATCTGTTGGAGGAGATGGAGAGGACGACGAGGACTTGCTACGTGGAGGGGAGGGGAGCCAACGGCAACCGGACAAATACATGAGGGAGGCCCGATACGTCACTCATCTGGAGGCGAGGACCAGGCGCGCATAATGCAGAGTGGAGAAGTGCGATCACAGAGCCTGCCGAGGCTATAAATGACTTTGATTTGTTGTTTAAATAGGGGGGCTACAAAACCTATCAGCCCCAGGGCCTGATGGCTGGTTAAGGCGGGCTTGCATATGAGGCCAGACTCGGAGGGCTTTCCTTTGCTTCCAGCCGTAAGATTGTAAACAAAGTCACGTTACTGGGGGCAGATGACAGCGCTGACTTCCGGTGTGTTTCCCGCAGCGAGACGCTACAATACTAATTGTGGGCTTAGGCCTATCATGTTTATTCGACAACAACAGAAAACAAAACAAAAACCTCTCACTCTCTCCAGAGGGGCAGGTCCTTAGACCCTCACATCGTACAAGGAAAAAAAGTGGTAGTGGTCAGCCTTCTCACCAAACATCTTCTGGCAGTCCCTTCCTGAAACAGACCAGCTGCAACAAGAATATCCTCTGCACCTGCATCCCTGATGATCTTGCAAACAGCCTTCATGTGTTAGGGAATAATTCTCCTGGACTCCTAGATATCTATCCTTTTTGCCCTTTGACGTTTATGACCAACCCTGATGTCTGTTATCTCCCTTAAGGAAAGGGGCTGCTTCAGCCATATGTTGTTGTTCCCATTTTATGACCGGGCAACTCTCGGTCACAAATGGTTTATTTTTGTGAGAACGCTGGAACACTTCCTTCTCGGTGTTTGTGGACTCCAAGGTGTGTAATCTTCGGTGACTCCCACTGCATTGCTACACAGAAGTTTCCCCCACATCATGAGCTTGGTGAAATCCCCCCAGCAGCAGGACTACATTGCAGAACTCATCTCTGTGCTTGTCTCTGATGGCAACTGCGAGTTCATATGTAGCCTGATCTCCAATGATAATGGTATACTTGTCTCCCAGTGCATGCGATGTCTTGATCAGCTATTTAATTTCTTCTTTCAGGACAGCAGGATCAGTTAGAGATGCTGGGATGAGAGGAAGATAGCCAATGATACTGGCCGGTCTGTGTGGGTGGAGGTCTGCACAGAAGGCAGAAAAGCCAGGCAGTCCTGCTTCTGCATCTGGAGGAGCCACCAGCCATTCTGAAGTTGTAACCATTCTTGCAAGATGCCACATAAGTAACAGGTCTTCAGCTTTGCCATCTGAGGAAGTATCCAGACTCTCTAGCTTCTCAATATGCTCAAGTGACCTGGACCTCTGCCTGTCTTTAGCTGAGACGTGTCACATGGGAGCAGGTAGATCAGTAACATCTGAGAGAGTCTTCTTTCTGTCCGAGGTAGAAGTGGGGAGTCTGGCACCCTCCTGGACCCGCACAATCTTTTGGTTTTCAATTATGATTGCAGTGGTGGCATTCAAACTCCCACCCTCCAGTGTCTTCTTCTTCCAGTCCAGATTGTCCATAGCAAACACATGGAGGATCTCGCTGTTTTTCATCATGGTCTCTGGGATGTAAACACCATCCGTTTCAACCTGCTGCATGACCTTCTAACTTTGTGCTGTTAGCTATTTTGTGTTCAACTTCTGATCATATCTGTTTATTTGTAGTTAATAACTAAGAAGAGAGTATGTGAAATAAATGTTTTGCCACGAGGAATTTTGTTTATTTCATGATCAAATAGGATATTGTTCACAAAAACAAAGACATTGATTTGCACAAATAATAAAAGGGTATTGATTTGACATTAAGTTAACTTCCAGATAAATGTAACTCAGTTTGCCTTGTCCTATAACATAGAAAACCTTCAATTAAAGGGTTTTGCAAAGAAAGTGGCGGCCATTTTGAATTACGCTGCCTTTAGCTTTCCAGACCGTAAACTGAAAATCTGTAAACATTGAATCAATTCAACTTAGCATCGGCAGCAAACCTTGTGTATATTAATGTAAACCCTTCGATATGTTATATAGAAATAATCTTTTAAGTATATTTACCCATTTTGAACACAGCAAACAATCCAGAGGACCACAAGTGCATTGCTTGACATGGATTTTGCTTTGGAGAGACAAAAAAGGCACAGCGCCATCTAGTGACCTTATTGAGAACAGGCTTAATCAAGGCATCACCTGAAAGCTTATTTTCTGCTCTTTCAATAGGTTGGTTCAGTTTGTCTTTACCATGAACTGTCTCAGAGATATTCAATCAGAAAGAGAATGATGGCATCTGATCCAGACAGAATTTGTGACTTTTTTTCATATATGGGTTGAATTGTTTGGACCCTCACTGTAGCTTTCCAGTAGCTAGTTAACCGGGTTGTCCACCCAGGTTGTGATCCTTGAAGGTCCTAGATATCATTTCTGGTGGACAACCTTTTACAACATTCCATGTCTGTAAAATGACTTTGCCCCCTGGGTATACGTGGGAAACTCTAGGACAAACAGGGTTAGGGTAAGAATGAACGTATTAATATGTTTGCTAGCAATGGGGACATTGAATCAGCATTACATGGTAATGGGTCACTTCCTGGGCTAGTCTACCCCAAACAAAGAACATTCACTGTATACAGCATATTAGTAATGGCAGATGACTTCAGGGTCCTTTGACAGCAATACATAAACATTGCGGCCATAAATACCAGATAATTGTATCTCTTATGATAGCAATCGGCAACATTTAAAGTGACAGCGATGTGGAGTAGGTAAATAATTGCTTTCTAAGCTTAATGTAATAAGGGAACATATTTCCTCCCAGCAAAGGGTATGTTTTAAACAACACTATAGCATAGGCAGAAAGGATCCCTTAGATCTCTTGCATCAACACAAGGACATTTCTGAATGCATAGTATTCAGTTTGCTCAATTAAGTTTAAGTATGAACTGTAAGAGCTAGTGTTTCAATTTATACGAGTCAGAATGTATCCTTACACAAGTCTGCGACCTTGTCTCCACATTAATGTCTTCCTCATGTTAAATGTCCTGTTTTCTCTTGGTAGAAAGATTGTTCTCAGATTGTCTAAGTGTTTTCTCTATTACAAAGAGCCAATGTTCTCCAATGTTAGCTTGTTTAACTTAATCGGAGGAATTGTGAGCGAGGTACTTTGTATTTTCCCTGAATTTGTTTGAATGAAAGTCCGTTAGACCCAACTATGTACTTCAACAGAAAATACTGAGTATGTGGAAAATGACTGTTAAAGGACAACGGTATGCATTCATTTTAATTATCGAAAAATCCAAGTCCAAAGTGTGAGGTCAAAGAGGACATGGAATAACCGATGTTGATAAAACACCAGGAAAGAACTGTCAGCATTCAAGGGAAACTTTATTACAGGATTTTTCTTGAAATGAGTACATGGACCGTTCACCAAATATAGTGAACAGTCGCAGGACCTATTCCAAAAGAATAATTTAAGATGTCTTTCATATGCACTTTCCTGTCAGATCAAAGAATTTACTAAACTTTGAGCTTAACTGAAATCTTGTTGTACCATCAATAGAAGCCACATTTCCCAATGATTGAATGATCACATTCATTCCCAGTATTGATAAATAGGATCAATGTGACAACCATCTCCTGTCAAATATCTTACAGTCTGAGGGAAATTCACTTACTGGCTTAATTGCTTAGTTTGAAGAGGTACAACTGTGGTACACATTCATGAACTCTGGCTTACCTCAGCCGGATGTGACTGTACAAACACGCCTTCCGCATCCCTGAAGCGCCTTTCCAACTCAGTGGTGTATTGACGTGAAGGATGTCTCTCTGGCATAACCCGGATGATCTGAGAAAAATATAAACGTGTTTATTTTAAGACAATAAACTTAAAGGCAGCATATACCGGATTCAACTGTCTTCTCAATTCTAAACTTTGTTTGAAATGGAAAAGTTGGCAGTAAAGAGATGTGCAGGTTCCAAATCATTGCCATACAATGTGAGTTATACAAAATGCACCCTGTGTTTACTTTTTTTGTGTTGTGTTTCCCGGCAAACATCATTGATATCACTGATAACACATGCTTTGTGTTACACACATTCATTACCACATAATTGCATATGGTATGATCATGGGTTTTGGACAAATTTAACAAATTGCATCTTTAAGGAGACAATATTCCTACCTTTTTTAAAACGCCTCGGTTGACCTGGAACCACAACCTCTGGAGAACTAGCTCATCCAATCCCTCCACATGTAACCTCTGATGGACCAGCAGAGGAGAGAAGTGTAAGAATCATGTTAAACATAATTATGTAACAATTTTAACCGAAGATAATCCAAAATCATTTTGATGATACACTGAATTGTAATTAGTTAGTAATAAGTAGTTTATTACAAGAGAAATGCAAAAAGCTTAACGGCACCAAGTTTTGATATATCTAGCCCTTCAGGGGTATATGTCTCCCCTTTCAGAAGAGTAATGTGAAAACAACTATCAAGTCAGCACAGTCAAGGTCAGACACTTACAGGAACATACACATTTTTCAGTTAAGGAGATTTTTGGACATATATAGGGAAGTCAAAATCATATGCCAGGTTGAAAGTGAAATACTGTGTAAATTCCTGCAAGCGCAATATATAAAACACAAAAGGTCTTATAGATTCAGCACTTCAGTGTAGTATTTGTTTTGTATTTCTTCTTATTCCCCTTTTATTGGCTGCTGATCTTTATTTGAAAGACTTAATGTCTCTAGATGGAACAGTTAATGTTCAACAAACTACTTTACGGGAGCAAACAAATACATCTTAGTGGCAGCCAAGTTTTATTTAATTTTCTTAGAAAATATTTAGGGGAAAATATTTAATTGGGACAGCGGGAGAGAATGGACAAAGCCTTGAAAAAACCGAGTAGGTTGACATGTTGGCTTGTAAGACACATGCCAAGCTTCATCTGAGGAATCTCCTGAGCCAAGTCCTCTGGCAGGAAAGTTAAATAAGTCACTGAATCAAGAACAAGAATTGTGACTTTTACCATTCTGTTAATGTTTGACAGTTTGAAGACTTCCTCATAATGGACCCTGATGGTGTAGTTGATGGGGAAGTTGTGCTTCTGTAATACATGGAAAAGGAGAGATTCATTAGCATGTGTCTTTCATCAATCAGAGAGCTGTAAACTTTGTTTGTCTTTCAGGAATTTGGTTGTTACATTTATGTTTGGAGTTAGCAGATGTACACATATAAACTTGTGGTTGGTGCTGGAAAATCATTAATGAGAATGTTGCTAAAAGTATGTCAGACAGCATTCAAGATATTGTGCATGATGGATAAAGGGATAGTACTGATTCATTTAGTGGTCCAATTGTCGTAAGAGCAGTCATAAACTTAGAATGACGATTAAGGATAGCTCAACTAAAGTTACACACCAGTTTATTTGTAACTTGGAGTACTTCTCAGCTTGTGATAACAGTTCTATAATGTGCTTTGCTGCTCTACTCGACCTTTGTCAAGGTAAATCATACTGATGTCCTTTGATTATGATTAACTTGGGCTTTGACTTCATTTCTAAAAAGAGACCTGTGCAAAGAATAATTTTTAAGACATGGCCATTTACAAGTCAGAGTAGGTATACAAAATATACTTTCGAGTTGCATTATGGGAATTAAAGGTACAAGTGTTTTTGGAACCTGTATGGAAGGACTCAAACTAAAGCTATCTCTGCAACCTGTCCTGTAGAAATGTGTCTCTCGCATAAGCCCAATGTTTCTGAAGTGCCCCTTTTAAGGTTAATTGATACAGAAAACCAAGGTTTCCCTTTTTGTGGAAAATGTCTAATCGTTATCATTATCATTAATTATTGTTATCTTTTTGTCTGGGGACATACAAAAGAACCTCAAATTAGAAGTAGAGAAAGGTTCTAAAAGATTACCTCTAGAATAAACCAAATCATGTGTTTATTTGAGGGTCAAATTAGCTAGCTTGCCTCCATATTGACTGAGACATGCTTGCAAATGTGTCATCACTCTCTCACCATGTACCGCCGCCTGTTGCTGAGGCTACCGTTGAGTGTCTTCAAGGCTGTGCACATGCTGGCTGGTGTTGGGGCCATCATAACAGGCGATAGCAGAAACAGGCCTACGGAAACCAGAACAAATAATGAGATGAACTGCATTACCAGTCATGTATACTCTTTTCACATGGCCCTTTCAGGGATGTCCCAACCATGTGTGTAAAAATAATACAGTTAAAGTACTACAGGTGTAACAGTTCTAAAACTAAGAACAAAACCACAATATAAACGTCTATGGTCTCGTGTCATATCAATTTTCCTGAACATTTTATTGCCAGGAATTATAGGTAATAATCTGGGTTTTATTCTATTCATTTACAAAAATTATTCCCTGAGATATATCATTTTTAATCTCAACCAGGAGAATGACATTTGGACAGCAAATCCATCCAATGATCTGTTGAGATATTTCAGTTTTTACCAAAGTGGAGGACCAATCAACTGACATTACCATTCTTGGGTAAACATATCTCCCGGCACCTCTGAAGTCTAGTAGTAACAAGGTAATAAAAAATTGACAGCAAATACCCCAACCTCTTCTTAAAGGTGTTAACGATGTAATATTATTGTATTGCCTTTACTACTGATCCTCAACAGAGGTCATATGACCATTCAGACATTGCCTTTCGTTTTTCTGGACATTATTAGCGTTTTTCAAGCAACGGCTGTGTTTTTTTACACTTTATAATTTACCTTATGTTAAAACGTCCTGGTAAACCACAGACACGTGTCAAACTTCCAGTGCGATTAAATCAACCACCAATTGAGTCAAACTAGAATATTTAGAAAATTGCCTGACATTCTTTATTAAAGGGCCCATGTCATGCTTTTCCGGGTATTACCCGTCCCCTTGTGTGTTATGAAGGTTTTTCTGCATGTAAAGGGTCTGCAGAGTCACAAACCCTCAAAGTACACCCTGTAGGGAGTAAAACTCTAACACAGAGAAGACCTGTCTATGCTGCCCCAGAACGCCTCGTTGGAGATTTCTCTTTTTCCATTGTTTACTTCCTGGGTTCTGTGACGTGTGAACACCCAAATCAACAACAAATGACCGGATTGGCCCAAATGGACCAATCCGCGGAGCACCTCACACAACAGGGAATAGACGAGTTGGGATGGCGGAGAAATGCTCTCCGCAGACCCATTCTCACAGCGTTATAAACCTTTTTCTTACTCAATATCAAGCCACACTTATTGTTTTTACTTCGGCTGTGAGTGTTTGTGTGTGCTCAGGATGAGTTTCGCTTGTTCTCTCTGTATCGCCGACCCGGAAGCCTGTCCGCTCCTCGCAGCAGCGGCGAGCAGCAACGAGCCTCGCAACGAGCCTCGCAACGAGCCTCGCAACGAGCCTCGCAACGAGCCTCGCAACGAGCCTCGCAACGTTCCGACCAAAGAGCACACTGGGCTCCCAGGGAGAGGGGGCAGGAGCTCCAACAAGCCGTTTAGGACAGAGTGAATACTCATACTATACAGAGATGCTGTTTGAGAAACCAATGTGAGTTTGGAAAATTGCACAATATAAATCTATTCTAGTAAACCTCAACAATGGAAATATGATCAGTAGAAATGGCCATGACATGGGACCTTTAATACTATAATTATGTTGTTGCATACGGCAATACTCTACTCCGGTAGAGCTTTCTTTCTTTTTATAAACATCCTGCAACGTCAAACCAACCGGCTGTCATGGGGCTTAGCTTGTTTTTTTACTTATTTACTTCAACTTATCCGCTTTCACCCTGACATCAGTGAACCAATCATCTTGTTAAATTCAGTAATCAGTCTGTTCTCTTCTGTTATGCTTTTAGCTGCCATTTCAGTATTTCCTATAGATGCTTCACCGCTCCACCTTAAATAAGGATCTAGCCCCAGGTCCCCTCCTAAGAGCCCCAAACTAGATCACCATCTAGCCTCCAGCCCTTCAGGTGTGGGTCAAACAACTAGTAATGCTACTGCGACAGCTATGAATGTGGCAGATTTTCACATGTGTGATCTGAAAAATAGGATGCAAGACTCCTGACAGTGTTGTTCAGGTTTCTTTAAAAGGAAACACATGTCCTTTTGAATGTAGAGTATTACACATCTGTGTGAGTGTTGACTGAGGAAAAGAGAAAGTCTCACAGGTGGGAGTGTGAAACTGCTGCTATACTATCTGGAAGTCTTTGTGTGTGAAGATCAAGGAACAACTCATGGATCAGAAAACTCATCACTATAAGATGTAGCATGCAAAAGCAGCATATAGAAGTACAGACATTACAGTTGACCTTTGAGCAAAAATGTCGACCGCTTATGAGATCCAGGCTATGTAAAACACAAGTCATATTAATGGTAAATTGGAAGTAAAAACTCAGCCGTTATGTCAGCATGTTTGTCTGTGCAAACTGTGTCTGTGTTTGGTTGTACGCGTGAGGGTCAGAATAGATTCATTGCCACTGTAAGACCTTATATTATTTATACTTTTCAATATAACTTTTCATAGTATGTTTGTGGTACGAGTTGGAGCAGATTTCACCAAAAACACACAATCAGGGGACAAACAAGTTTTGATGTGCTGTGTCTCACCTCTTCGTTTATTTGTAAAGTGCAGTGTTTACTGGAGCAACCACCACGGCTGTTGCTTGAATAACTTCAGTGATTTAGCCAAGAAAGCCATTGTTGAGGGTGAAAAGTGTCAAGCATTCCACATTAAACTGTTTGACTAAAATAAGTGCACCATCCAAAACTCATCATGCTCTGCAATTTGCCATACTTCTCAGTGTGAATGCGCTTATGCACTCAAAATAGCAAAGGTGCGTACAGTAATAAATAAGGGCAAGCTTTAGTTTAGCATTGTACTTCTTCCTATGTACCAAGTGAGTGATAGCCTGTAGCAAATGTACTCCATAAACTGTGATTACTGTCAGCATTGCTGTGACACGTAACACTGCAGTCATCTTTATACATGGGAGGCCAGGACTCTCAGCTACCAACGAACAAGACTACGCAGAGATGAGACCAAAGCCAGCTGGGTTTCATCAGGGCAGGGGGATACAGTGATGGGGAATCTGTTCATGGTACTAATGGGACATGGAAATGTGATCCAAGAGGTCTAGCTTGAGATACTAATATTAATTTGGCAAACACAGTGCCTGACCATTTTTGCCAAACAACGCATTCTTTCACCAGAAACCCTACATTTATGTAACCCTGCTGTGCCGAGTGACTGGCTCCATTGGAATTTATAACAAAGATAATGTCAGTCTGTTTGAGGCATACAAATCTAGTCTGACTAGCGACTCATTAGGGCTGTATTTAACATGCTTACAATAAAAAATGCTTTAATGCTAACATGAAATCTTTTTTTTAACCAAAAACGTAATTTTCTTTTCATGTTCTTACACAACGAGAACAATATTAAAATGCAATATTGATGACGAAACAGGGCAAGATTCAAAAGTGAAAACTTTAGAGGAATCCCTCTTTATTTTTCTAACCTTTTCTAACCTAACCATCTTTCTCTGTCACTCTCTCTCGCTCTCTCTTTGCTAAAGACTACATCTAAAATACATGCCAAAATTAACAATGGTACAAACATGGAAATCCATCCAATCCAACATTTTAATTTTTTACACACATTTTACTTAAAAAACCAAAGCTTTCAACCTCATTGCGATGCTACGAGTAAAGTCTGGGGCTCACCAAATTCAATAATACTCATCCACCAGCCATGATGGATATCTTAACAAATGTTTATATACCGGGAGTTTTCCCGGTGGGCCGGTGCTGTGCGTGGGCCGGAGGGCCAAAATCCTACCGGCCCACATTTGTAAGTGTTCCAACCACTCCCTGGAGGGGTGTGGCCCACACCCCACTGGGCTGGGCTGGGCCGTTTTGATAGGCTATCATCAGGTAGATAGAACATATCATATAACAGATTCTATCAGATAGTTTCACTTTCACACATCAGGCCCGTAGCAGCTGTCACTGTGCAGTGAACGATCAGGAGTGAGTGACTGAGAGACCTAACTGGCAGTTGCTTACAGATGGATAAACAAGCTCCAAAGCGTAAAGGCGTTTTTGTATAGTTTGTGTATACAGTACAGTATACAGTATTGTAGCAAGCCCTGGGTTCAGAGGGAGGGGCTTGCATAGGGAGGGGGGTGGGGGTTGGCAGGGAAACGGAGTTCAGGGGGAGTGGCTGTACCCGTAGGATAGAAAAGGGGGAAGTGACGTCTGACTCAGAGGTCGCGCGGCTGTGGAGAAGAACGTGTTGCCCACATTCTGTTACTGAGTTTAGGCTAGTTAGCTAGCAGGTTTATTGTTTTGGGTGCAGTCACTTTTGCCTCCACTTGCTGTTCAAATAAATGTTGAAAGAAAAAGTAAATCTGTTCATATGGGTGTTGAGAGATGTATCCATAGATTTAGTGCCTAATTTTGCTCTCAAAGTGCACCAGATTGATGCATTTAACTTCAACATTTAAAAATCTCTTCCCGGGGGAGCATGCCCCAGGACCCCCCTAGAGGAGGTGAGGTCCACCACCTGCCCACACCCCCTGTTAAATTGTCTCACCCACATTGAGGATAATTCCTACGCCCATGTTTTATTCCATGCGTCAAGTCAGGCAAATTGGGTCCAAATGTTATTGCATCAATGATCTGTTAACATTAAAATCACTAAATATATGCTGTAACTATTTTTGCTCTAGGCAACTCAAGGGCTCAGGTAATGTGATTACTATATGAATAATGGACCAAAATAACATTAAATGCATAGGGTTTTTTGTTAAGTAACATAACATACTTTCGTTGCCGGCCGGCCGATACATGCCGCGCATTAAGTGGGCCTGTCTGTCAATTAATCCCAGGGCCACTTTTTCCTCCCAGTCCGCCCCTGTTTATGGCAATACATCCAGTGGTTGCTGAGATATTTTAGTTTGACCTCGACCTCAATTATAGAGAGCAGATGTACAACAAATTATCCTGTTTATAAGTACAGGAGTAAATGGCTTGTTTGATGGGGTGAAGCCACTGTAAGCACCCAAGGGAGTACAAGTTGATTGCTTTCTTCTCAAGACACAAAGCGTAA